ACCTGCCAGTGAAGGGAAACTATGTTCAGAGCATCTGATCTCTGTTATAAAGTTATTCTCGTAGTGACAATCTTCAATAGCTACAAAACACCTGATACTGTAAGACAGAAAGTTGAGTGTGCACTGTCTGTTGTCCCCTTTCCTCCTAAGAGGAGTACAGGTAACTGACTTCCCTACAGTCACAGCACTGTTTTCTTACAGATTTTTGGCCTTAAAAATTCTGATCCTTTGAGACACAGGATAATAAAATTTCATATGTTTTTAAATTTTTAAAGCTCTTCTTCAGTCTCTTAAGCCATAACTTTGACTTTCTTCACCATCATTGACATTATCCTAGTTTCAGTCAGTAATTTCAATAAACAAAGACTCTGGTTTTACAGGGGACACAGAAGCATTCACTTATGACCAACCACATTGAGCACAACGTCTATGTGATATAGCCTGGCACTCTTCACAATTAAAAATGATCTACATTTGGTCTTACAAATCTGTAGGAATGATTTTTTTTCTTATCTTCAGAAAATAATGCAAAGGGAAAAGATCAATAAATACACAGATAAATTTAAATTACCACCTAGAAATGACCTAACATTTTGAAAAAGGTTTGTAGGGATAGTAAATAGCTGTTGGAATGTGATGACAAAAAAACGATAAAAAATAAAGTAAAATACAAAGATGCTCTATTTTTGGTAAAGTACAAGTCTATGAAGGAATTGGAACTGTAAATTGTGGATGTTTTATGATAAAAGTGTTCTCTGTAAATATCTTATATACGTTTCTGCTTTCGTAGCTTTATTGATCAAATCCATAGAAATGATTATAGTGTCCAAGAAGTGGACACAGCAAGAGTAAAAGACGGTAGGGCCTGGTAGGAGGAGTCAGGTGACAAAGAGTGAGCGATCTGAGTTAGAGCTTTGCCCTCATGGTATTCCAGAGTTTGGTCTATCTGCTGAAGTGTTTCTAGTACCTTCTCATGAGCTTATCCACCACAGAAAGTCAACCAACTAAATCCCCTAGTTGATTTCTTTTCCACCTATTCATCTACTGAGATGTTTTCTTTTTCAAAATCACAAATGTTTGACTTACTTATTTCGATGTTTTTGTTTTGTTTTGAATTTTGAGACAGTCTCGGTATGTAGCCCAGGATGCCCACAACTTGCCATCCTCCTGCTTCAGCTTCCAGGATGCTGGCATTATATATATCCAACACCATGCCAGATTGCTTGGCAATTTTTCAGTCTTAATACATAAGAATTTCATATTTACTTTTGCTATTTTTCTCATCAGTTTCAGCTCAGTATCCCAAGTTTTTAAAACCTCTTGAGCATATCAGTAAGTTCATCTTACTCAGATAATCTCCATATTGTGTTATGACAATCATCATAAAAATAGCTAATTTGATGCTGGTACAGACCAACCACTACTCTAAATGCTATACGTTTTTATCCTTACAACAGGTCTACAAAATGGTTATGATTGTACCATTCCTGCCCCACCCCACCCCCAAAAAAACAGTTTAGAGAAGTATCAGAAAAAGAAGCAATCCCAGGCTGGATGCCAAACCCTGTTCTCCCAGCCTCTACCCAGTGTCATCGCTGAATGTCTGTTCTAGTCTCCACACTGGTACTGCCATCATCACTGGTACCACCATCATCACTCCCACTACCCCTAATAATTCTGGTAATAAAAGACCAGTCTGTGAACAGAGCTCCAGACCATTCATTAGAGAGTCCTTCCTCAGTAAGCATTTACCATTGATTCGTGCTTATACATAGCATGATTCATGTAATTGTCCGTTCACTTTAAAAGACCATTCTCTACCTAAATCACACCACTTCAGTCACAAAAATATCCTGGCTATTCAAAGGTTTTGCAGTTTTGAAAAATAAAATTCCCAGAACATTCTTTTTATCTGTTAACATCTGCATTTCTTATCAATTTTATTTTCTTTCAAGACGAGTCCTTGGGAGAGGTAGCTCAGTGGGTAAGGTGCTTGGCTACTTACGCTATGGACCTGAGTTCAACCCTCAGTATCAAGGGAAAGCCAGGCATGGCTCTGTACGCCTCTGTAACTCCAATACTGACGTGAGGCAGGTAGGTCTCAGGGACTTGCTGCCCAGATAAATTAGTGGAAAACAATGAGCTCCAGTTTTAGTGAAAAATTCTAGTCCCAGGAAATGAGACAAAAGGGACTGAAGAAGACATGCAATGTCCACCTCTGTTCTCTACATGCACACACAAGGGAAGTGAGTAGGCTACATTATACTGAACATGATCTAGATGTAGAACACACACACACACACACACACACACACACACACACACACATATCAGATACTCCATGGATCTCTCATTTTCTAGGGGACTGTTCTAATCTCAGTTCCAAAGACCTCAAGAAACCTATACTCGTACTTCAGATTGTATGAATGTTGTATATATGTGTACTTTGCTCTGTGACATATGCAGAGATTTTCATATAGATTCTCAAAGGACAATTACTTTAGTGTCTGTTTTCACTTATAAATTTTCCAGGATATTTGTATAAAACTCTTCATCACTGAATTCCTAACCCATTTTATTTTCCCACAACAACCTTTTAAAGCTTTTGCTGAATGACTGTATTTGGTGGCAGTTTTTATTATTATTATTATTATTATTATTATTATTATTACTTCGCTAAACCTCTAAGTTTCAATCACATGGAAACATGATCTTACTGTAATGATAACAGCCTAACCTCTTCTCCATTCTGGCCCCCTTGTTAGCATCAGCTACGCAATCTTTGTCTTCCAGGACCTATTAATGACTCTATAAATATCCAAGTGAGCAAATGAATTGAGCAACACTATAAAATCATTTCTTCCATTCTTATTTTATTACTTATAAATGAGTGTAAACATCACCTTTCTCAGATCTAACAATGGGTGATTGCTTGTGTTCTTTAGGAAAGTTCGGTATGATCTTGATTCTATTTCAGGAAATCTGCAACCCCATGGTGCAAGGCATGCACACTCCAATTGACTGAAAGTGTTTTCCTGACTCATATGGTTCTATAATTTTCCACTAAGGAAACAAAATAATATAGTCCTCAGAACCTAAATTTTGAATTCACACATGCTTTAGTACCAATCTTAAAATTTTTGTATGCCAGCTAGACAAAACTGGGCAAGTTGTAGAAACTCTTTGAGTCTTGGTCCTGTATTAATTGGTTTTCTATTACTGGGACAAAAAATGTGTAAGATGTTCAATTTGGGAGCTAGCAAGGTGGCTCAGCAGTTAAGAGGAAGTTAAGAAGAACTTCCCGAGGACTTGGGTTCAATTCCCAGCCCCCACTGGCATCTCACAACTGTCTGTAACCACAGTCCCACGGGAATCTGACACCTTCACACAGACATACATGCAGGCAAAACACCAATGCACATCAAATAAAAATAAATAACATTTTTTAAAAGATCAACATAAAAGGAAGAAAGCTTTATTTGGGGGTGACACTTCCTTGGCCATGTGCTCTAGTACTTGGTGGTGGTGGCATATAGTGGTGGCACAGTATATCATGCCAGAAATGTGTAATGGAGGAGGCATTTTGCCCCATCATGGCCAGAGAGCAGAGTTATTCAGGAAAGAGTCTTATCTCCTGCAAGAGCATACTGTCAAGGACAAAAATTCTTTCCATGTGACCCCCATATCCTAGAGTTTCCAACATCATCTGGCAGTGCTGCAGGCTGGGAGCCATGCCTGTCATATATGGATGATCTGCTAAATGAGTACCATGAGGCACATAGTAAATGTGAAGGACAGAATGCTGAGGGAGGCCTGTGCTGTGTGAGTGATAATGTTGATGGGGATGACGCTGTTGTATGAAGATGGCCATAACTATACACTGAGCTGTCGCTCCTGGGAACAAAGACCATGTTTGACTCATCTTGAGCTTCCTCAGCATCTACCTGCAGGCCCCTGATACATGATACTAACAAATATTGGTTAAATTGATGACTTGGTCTTGTACCAAGTACAAGACCAAGTACAAGATACTAAGAGATGAATGAAAATAGAAAAAAGTGGGAGAGGGGAGATTTCAAAAAGGCATGATGGTAAAAATGCAAGCTTTACAGGAAAGCAAATCTAGATTGGGATTCTTGTTTTAATGCCTGGATAACTGTATTTTCTTGGACAATGCTCTTTAAACTTCAGTTTCCTCTTCTGTAAAAGTGACTCTCCCTGCCTATCCTCCAGGCTAAGGAGAAGGTGAAGTTAAGCACCTTCATGGTAGGCATCCATTGGCTTGTTTGGCACACAGCAGGTGTTCAATGAACATAAAGATACTGATTTGGTCCACAGCGTGATGTCTGTGCCAAGTCAATGTGTATGGTTGGTTTTTTTTGTTTTTGTTTTTGTTTTTTTGTTTTTTTTGTGTGTGTGTGTGTTCTTTTGGGTTTTTTTTTTTTGTTTTTTTTTTTTGTTTTTTTTTTTTTTTTGCGGCATATGCTTCAGGCAAGGAGCTTGACCTGCTGAATCTGAGAGCAACAGACCTTTTTAAAAGAGAAATAATGCAGAAACATAGCCCCGAGATATGTAGCAACACTTGACCATCTCTTCCAAAGGAAGGAGGGTGGTTTTCAATCTGAGCACTTGATTGGTGGGATGCTCTAATGGGAAATAGGAAACTAACACTTCTCTCTTTTAACCACCTGCTGCACAAACTGTCATGCAAATACTGCCTCTTGCTTTATGCAGAACATTTCTAAACCCCTGTGACTTTATTATTTGCTTGGATTTTCATCTGTTGTGAAGCAACTGAGTCAACATCAAGTATGTTTGTCTATAAACCAGCCAAATATTTCCTCCTAAATACTTGTGCTCTTAGTTGAACACACAGCTACTGTGCAGTCATGTTCTTAGTGAGAGTTACCCCGCCCACAATTCTTTTGTGAATTTTAGTTCAGTATATTTGTGCCTTTTACATAAGCCAAAACTAAGTGGAAGTCTTTCATCTCACACAGGTTCCTCCAGGGGGCCCAGTCCTCTGACTATGGGGGCCCAGGACACCCTCCCGGTTGCAGCAGCTTTCACAGAAACTGTCAACGCCTACTTTAAAGGAGCAGATCCAAGCAAGTAAGCCTGGGATGAGGCCTACTATTTTCTTGAAGTCTGATATATCTAGTGTGGGTGTAGGGTGGGGTAGAGGATACTGTGAAGGTAACAGCCCTACCTTCTGAAAAAGATTTCTGTGGGTCAGATCCATAAATCTAAAAACTCTCTGAAATTATATTGCATATCCTTTTTTCAAAGACAGTCTCACTATGTAGCTGGCTGGTCTGAAGATGGCTATGTAGAGCAGACTGGCTTTGAACTCATAGAGATCTGTCTACCTCTACCTCCCGTGTTCTGGTGTTAAAGACATGAACTACATCTTATGTGTGCATTTCTACACAGAGAGATATATATGGCTCTCAATACTCTGTACCAAAGGGAATCCTGACTCCAAAGTGTTGACAGGAATCATTAATTTACCATGCACACCAAAAACACTTGCACTGGATGACTGCCAAGTGTATCATTAGTTTAATTCCAGGCCTGAGTTCCAACAATAAACAAAAGGAAGCCTAAGTGAGTGATGAATAGCTCTTAATTCTCTCTTCACTCACAAGAACGGGACTTTAAATGTAAATAAATAAATAAATAAATAAATAAATAAAGCCTTACAATCTAGGGCGAGAGGAATGTGAAGCAACAGATGTCCTCACAAGTGGCATTACTAATTTTATTAAGCAGTGAGAATTAAATACAATCAGAGCAACACATTTAAGTGGGAATTCACATGGCCACGTATGGATCCACTTTCCCCGTTCTGAAGCATTGTTTCAAAATATCATGACTCTACTGATACACTTCTAGAATGCCAATATAATTAGTAATCCAGCCTCCAAGTCATCCTACCCAGTCACTAGATCTTTCATTCTTCCTGGATGTCATTGCTTTTTCAATAGCAACTAGATTTTATTCTAGATAATACAAAGAAACAAACATTACAAGACTGGGGTTGATCCAGAGAGGTGTGAGATGAGAGAAACAGAGGTAATGGGGGAGAAAAGAGAGAGAGACTCCGATAGGGCATATAAACACTGTCAGCTTAAGCTGATAAACACATACTACGTACAGTTAGTCTTGTAGACTCTATTAGAACAAAGAATTTGTCCAACTGCCTACTATGGGAGTTGGAAGAACCACTCATTGCTGACTGATTGATGCCTTGAACACTGAGGCTGATAAGAACTAAGAAAACAGAAGCAGGTTTATTTTTAAAAATTAATAAAATGTGGAGAGAATATGTACTCTGTAGTGGAAATCCTGGGGGAATCACACAGTGGATCCTCTCCTCTTGCCTTCTCACTGGCTTTCATTCATTCCCTCACTGATGTATTTAGAGATGTAACTGGTGTTCTCAGCTTCCACTCTGGCCCCTCTATAAAGTCCACCTCTGTATAGCACACCACTTCCATGGTCCAAACTCTCATCTGTTCCCAGGGAAAACACTTCCCAGGGATCTCTGAGGTCCTGGGTGCTCTGTGCTCTGTTGATGAAGAACTGGCAGTGACACCCAGTTGCCCCCTCTCTGATCTAATCTGGGTTGGTCCCTCCTCACTTGCATATATACCTCCCTCTTCTCTCCACTTCCACCACATTAGCCTATAGCTGTTTCTTTCCTCTGCCTCGTCTGTCTACCACTCAGTCTCTCTCTGCTTCACTGAAGTTTTCTCCCATGTATTCCAGGGAATGATTAGCTCACATGTGGGTGCAGGCATGGGTTCATGAATCTTGTTGGGCTGTTGTGATTCCCACAGCTCCGAAGAGACTGGAGAACGAAAGTCTTGACTGAGTTTACACCAAAGCACAACACCAGGCAGGCGCTACAGGGCCCCACCTGGTGTGGGGGAGTTCTCACTCAATCTGAAGCTCCACGGGGGCACAGAGCTCTTGGATTGGGGATCCCCGAGCCAGGAGGTGGCCAGGGACTGACTGGTCTCAAGCCCTTGGGCTCTCAGATACCGCTGAGAGGCTGAGGAAGGACAGAGATGGGAGGCATGTGGGCCCACGACCAGCCAACCCACAGCTGAGAGAAACGAGGGGGGGAGAGAAGAAAGAGGCCCTGGCAGAGCCCCACGGGAGAGACTCGGTTACTGTACTCACTTAGCAGACTGAGTGGCCCAGCTAGCTTGCTTGAAGAGGCGGTCCCCATGGCTGGACCACAGAAAGGTCCTCCAGGCAGGAAGTTTGGTGGGTTGGCTGCGACTACATTGGCTTATTAAAGGCCTTCTCTGTGTTTTCCTACAGTGAACCCCAAAGACACAAGAAAGTCCATGATTCCAAAAGGGTTTATTTTCATGGCAGATCTTGCAGTACTCCCCTGAAACTCAGGGCAAACCTGAGTTAAATAGGGAGGGAGAAGGGGGAAGGGTCTGGTGAAGAATGCTTAATTTGCTCCACCCTCTGGCCTTCAGGTAACTCATTAGTATATAAATCTCTCTAGGGCCTGGGGCCTGTAGTCACACCCTCTACTTGTCCTCTTTGGGAGGGGCTGCATTGCCCTATGTGACTGAATAGTACAGGTCAATGGAGATCTATGCCACGTGTCAGGAGCCTGGATTCTGGGAGCACAGTAAAATAGATGCCCATCCCTCACAGGCAATGGACACCTGTTGGGTCTCCGGGCTATTTCCAGCCAGCGCCTCGACCAAAACCCAAGATCCTTTTCACCGCCCTACAATGTATATGAGCAGTTTGAACCCTCACTTTGGGTTTTCAACAAATGTGTCAAACAGAAATTCTCATCCAGCCAACAGACAGCAGCCCTCATCCCCCTTCACTCTCCCCAACACCTCTTCCATCCCTCCCTTCCTTCCCCTGCCCTCTCCAAAGCCCTAACACTTCACACATACATTTTCTTTTCAGTTGTCCATTGTCTGTCTCTCCCTGTCCACTGGAAGGGAAGCTCCAACAGATGGATTTTGACCCTTCTCTCCATTGCTGTCTTCAGCATCAAAACAAGGCTGGGAATGCTCAAGTTGTAGTTGCTAAATGACTCAAGCTGACTCCCTCATCTAAATTCTGCAGAATGGTTACACTGCCCTGATCGTTTTACCAGACAGGAGGCAATAGGTGAAGATGCCTAGGATGGAAAATAAGGCTTGTGTGTGAAGTAATCCAGAGTCTGGTGAAGAATGGGGTATAAATATGATTCAGTGGAAGACAAAAAGACCTCAATATTTTGAGTACACAACTTTATTTTTTTTTTAAATTTGTCCATATGTCCAACCTAGAAAAGTGTGAAGTAAGGAGGCAAAAGATGAGGATTGTAAGGAAGGATTCAGAAAGGGTCCTTTGAACTGAGTGTTGTGATTGGTGAAAGATTTTTCATAGTGGATATGCCCAAGTGGGTTGATTAAGCAGCTCAAGTGCATGCACACAGAGCCTGCTCAGGAGGAAGCTATGTGCTCAGTGTCAGCAGTGCAGTGCAGTTTCTCAGGCTCTCCCCATACTTGAGATCACACTAGAACTACCTGCAGATCCAGTAGTCCAGCTAGAGAATTAACTGCTACCTGTGGCAAGAGGGAAGGAAGAGCCGATGTTTAAGTCATATGCCACCTGGCTTGGAAATTTCTTTATTCTTTGTAAATGCCTCATTTGTAAATGCTTCATGGTTCCAGGCTTTGTTCAAAAATTCATTTCTTCTTCCATTTTGCATTATTTTAAAATGTCATAATTCAGATTCACATCATGCATTGATGCTCACATCAAATGCTGATAGGAACTGTCCTTAAGGTTAAAAATCTTTTCCTAAAGAAATAAAAGGGCATCAAACAAGAGTTTAGTAATCTATGATTAAAATAATCTTAAATATTCATTTAGTGAATGTGGAGAATATTAAGGCAAAGCAAACTCCACACACTGTTTCTTTAGCACCCTCTACTGACAAAGCTTTACCTGATGTTATAGGCAAAGTAAAACAATGTTTTTTTTTAATTCCAATTCTCCCAAAGTAGGTAGTAGAGAATGGATTGGAATTCAGTTTGTAAATTGAGTTTATGCTGAAGTTGATGCTATGATTCTATATTCAATTTGGAAATGCAAAAGGTCCCATTCCTGAAAGAACTTTGAGAAAGAACAGAGTCGAATGCTGGAGAGATGGCTCAGCGGTTAAGAGCATTTGTTGTTCTTGTAGAGGACTCGATTTATGTTCAGAGTACCCACATGGCAACTCACAGCCGTGTATAACTCCAGTTCTAGTGGACACAATGACCTCTTCTGCCTCAGAGGGCACCAGACACATGTGTATGTGATGCATAGTAATACCTGCAGGCAAAACACTCATACACATAAAAAAATAAAATAAATCTCAAAAAATGTATTTTTTAAAGGACAAAGTTGGAAGACAAATATAACGTGATTTTGCACCTGTCATAAAGCTATAGTAAACAAGACAATGTGTTTCAAATGTGTTTCAAAATGTTTCAAATCCTCAATGGAACAGGACAAAGGATCCAGAAATGGACCCCTATCTAGATAACAACTATAAACATAATTTCCAAGGTAATTTGGAAGAGAAAATGTAGGCCTTTACCAACAAATAGAAGAGGATGCATGCAGAAAGAAGAGGAAAGAAGAAAAAATAAAGACAGAAATAAAGGAAGAGCAGAAACCAACTGAGCTCTGCATCTCACACATACAAATATTTACTAAAATGTTTTATAAAGACAAATGTCAAAGTAAATGATAGAAATTAGAAGAAAGTGCAGGAGATACTCTTTTGGTCTTGGGTTTAGCAGAGACTTCTGAGATAGAACATCAAAAGAATTCCTGAATTCCCGTAATTCTTAAAAAGGAAATGTAAATTAAAACCTCCTTGCTCTTCCAAGTGTTCTCAGGAAAAAGGAACCCAGATCCCCAGACTTGGGAAAAGACTGAAAAGCTGACAGCTGATGAATGACATCCTCCTGGAATATCTGAAAGAAAATAACTTAGAATTCAGTAAGAGAACAAAAATAAAAGTGACTTAAAGACTTGGCAGAGAATCTGGGAAGACCATCTTCAATGAGCTAACTAAGGACACATCAGCACATGAAAAGGATCTGAGGGGACCAGCAAGATGGCACAGCAGGAAAGACACCTTTGCCAAACCTGAACATCTCCCAGAAAACTGGATGTCAAAAGGATAGAACCAGCTCCTGCAAGTGGACTTCTGACCTCCATAGATGCTCGGTAGCATGCGCACTTGAGGGTTCATGCACACACACATGCACAGATACATACACACACGTACACATACATTTAATTAATAACTGATTAATTAAATCTTTTTAAAAGATCTTAAGATTCTTAGCCTTTCTTTAAAGTCAAGTTAAAATGAGATCTCACTACTCACCAAGTAATTCAAGGGAAGACAGATTGTACACAATTCTGGTTAGTATGTGGAAATACTGAGATACACACACAGCTTCATTTTCCATTTTAAAAAACACTTGGAAAAGACGAGAAGAAGGAGGGAAAAGAGAGGGAAGGAAGAAAGGAGGGAAAGAAAAAAGACACAGAAGAGGTGGCAGGGCAAAAAAAGAAACAAAGGCAGTTGGGCCATTTCCTTAAAAGGTAAAGCTATACCCAAGTGATCCCTCATTCTTAGCAAAAAAAAAAAAAAAAAAAAAAAAAAAAAAATAGAGCCACGTCCACACAAAGACCACACCTTTGTGACAGATGAAGACTGGAATGAACTCTAATATTCTTTAATGGGTGGATGGATTTATTCTTTTTAAAATGTGATATATCCACTCACCAAGAGAAAAAAATGAACTACTGATTCACAGAACTGCATGGACAACTATGAAGCTAATTCCTCTGGGAACAGAATCTGATCCCACCCCCAGACACATGTCTGTTAGATGACATTCTAGAAAGTGCCGAGTAATACAGAGTGATAAAAGCACATAGGAAGTATCTGGGATTGGAGACTGAAAAGCTGGAGCGGAGGGATTACAGACAGGCAGGAAGAAATGTTTGGGGACAATGGAAATGTGGGGCTTGATTATGTGTTGATTTCATAACATGCAAACACATGAAATTCTACACAATAAGTGACTATACTGTATCATCTTTATACCTCCATGAAGCCTTTAAAATTATTATTCTTCCTTCCATCCTATCAACTATCATCATTTTAATGTCTATGACTAATTTTAACAGTGACAAAATAGGCAGATTAATGGACTGAAGAACTAACTAATAAAGTAAACCTTTACCTTGGCATACCTAAAGGACTCTGGTCATACTACCCAGTGAGCTAAAGTATGTCCCAGTGAGCTATGATGATAATATGCAAGGTATCACCTCCAAATACACAAAAATCACAACACTAAATGATTCCATCTGTGAGGCTGACCATTAGATTTTGTGCTGGTCTTCTACAACCCAAACATTTAACAAAATAGCCAGCCTCCTTTGGTCCAACAAGGTGGCCACACGATACACACACAGCCCATGAGGGTGATGATCTCAGCTCATCTGTAGAACCAACATGATAGGAGGAGAAAACCTACTCCCCCAAGTCGTCCTCTGACTGCCACAGATGTGTGTGCATGCTCCCACACACAATAAATGTGACTTAAGGCCATTTATTCTCTTTGCTTATGACATTTCAGCAGAGGGGTATATGTTACTCCCCAAAACAGATAGTCAAATCCCCTAAAGATAAGTTCAAACTTCCAGTTCCTGAAGTAGCCACCAGTTTTAGAAACAAACTAACTATATGTTTTCTTACAACTAAGGCTCTTTTTTAAAAATATTCAGTACTCGAGTTCTCAGGCAAGCTAGAAATGACTTGACGATGGAAAGCATAATTGTCACTGTTTGTCTTTAACTCTGTGGGTGTTTTAGATTGTCAATCAAACCTTTTTCTTCTGCACCACACTTTGCATCCCAGCATACTGACCCTGTTTCTGCTCTTTCCTTTCATGTGTTTGGTATTTCAGATGCATTGTCAAGATCACAGGAGAAATGGTGTTGTCCTTCCCTGCTGGTATCACCAGACACTTTGCCAACAACCCATCCCCAGCTGCTCTGACTTTTCGGGTGATAAATTCCAGCAGGTTAGAGCATGTCCTGCCGAACCCCCAACTTCTCTGCTGGTAAATATGATTCTGTATACAATCTTAAAGAGATGATTGTCTTGACACCCTGTAAGAGTGTGCTCTCTTGCATGAACAAGACTATGGTTGATTCCCTATGGTACAGACATGCACACAGATTTGACGCAAGGAGTGGGGGAGTATAGGGAGTATGTGCTAGCTGTCAAGTTTTCTGTGTGATACTGTGTGAATGTATAGCTGCATACACATTTGTGTTTCAGTGACTGACTTCAAACAGGGTAAAGAGGCATTTTAAAAAGCTTTGTATTGCTGACAATATACACTGCCATTTTACTAATTAACAGTTGATAAGGGTAGTAGGTGATAAATCCAAAAATTGGAAAACTTCTTGTACAAACTCCTTGTTAGATGAGATAATATTGGGACTCTGGGTTATTCTTCCACATGAATTTGAAAACCTTAACTGTGAAACACACAACTGTACTATAATGGTCATTTGTTGGCATGTGTCACACCAGGGAAGGGTGTGTAGACTTGCCGCTATAAATGCACACTTTTTCATTTCAGACCTGAAACGCTGCCTTTATTATGTGCTTCTGTGCATGTGTGCTGCTTTGTGGTGGGTGTGACAAAGGTCACTCTTGACAGCTTCATGTCCATTATAAAGTATGGCTATTCTAGCTTAAAGTCTCCCTCTCCAAAGTGCCCACACTCTTCCTTTACAGCGTCTTTCCTTGGACTAGTACCAACATCATGTCCCTAAGCTATGGCAATCACAATTGCTTCCTTCCCTGACTCTAGCCTGACCCTGCTCCAGTACATTTTTACAGCCAATGAACTTTATGAGTTCATTGCTTTTTGCTGTTTGCTCACAGTCGACCAGTGGCTTCATGTGGCCCATGGCCCAGCATCTCAGCTTGTTGCCATTGTCTCTGAGCATCTACCCAAATCCATGTGTCCTCTCATTAGTCAGTCTCCTCATCGGTCCCTATAGATCAAAGGTGAGTGGAGTCAAGTCTCACATCAGGACTTGGTGTGCTAATTTGCCCATCATCCAATACTACCCTCTTCCCCTTCCTATGGCCCCACGTCTTCTCGGTTCCTCTGTTTCCCCTTATCATCTCCTGCCCTCTCCAGCCCCACTGACCATCCCCAAATGAATTATGTCCCCCTGCCATTCTCCTGAAAAATCCCCATTCCCATTCTTTTCATTAAAAATTGCCTGTCCACTCATTTGTTTATTCACCATCCAGTCTCCATGAGACAGCACAATCCAGAGGACATGGGACCTGGATGCCATCCTTCATTTTGGATAAAGAAGCAGCTGCAGGATAGATCAGGCATATGGTCACTGAACAAGCTGCAGAGCCCCAGCTGTCAGGGATACTAAGCTTTTCAGGGGGCCAAGACTGCACTCTGCTTTCCTATTACTGTGATTACCATCATTAAACTCCAAGACCTTCTTGTTTGTGACTCGAGTTCTTTTAAGTAGATCAGCAGTACAAAACCTGGGGGTTCTCCATCCTTTGGAGGGTCAAACAACCCTTTCACAGGGGGTTCCCTAAGGCCATCAGAAAACACAGATATTTACATTATGATTCATAACAGTAGCAAAGTTACAGTTATGAAGTAGCAACAAAAGTAATTTATGGTTGCAGGTCATCATAACATGAGAAACTGTATTAAAGGGTCACGGCATTAGGAAGGATGAGAACCAATGAGTTAAATGCTCTTGGATGAAATCATGCATGTGGCAAAGGATCTTGGTGATATTAGCTGTATCCTTCTCGGTTAGGCCAAATCTTCCCTTTTTCCATTTTAAAGATAAGGACTCACTGAGTACAACAGGCTGGCCTCAAACTTGCAAACCTCTTGCCTCAGCCTAATCAATGCTAGGATTGTAAGTGTGCACCACTGAATCTTTTAACTGGTTAGTTTCTGAAAACCTCTACTAGTTAAGTCAGTTCAAAGGAAAATCAATTTACTCCCCCTTGATTGCACTGACTGATAAGTCTGGGTAGAAGTAAGATAATATAGGGAGAGCTATTAAGTACAAATGAGGAAATAGCTGGTTGTCAGTCTGCTGGGTCAATAGACAGGGCCTCACCGCAGTGTCTCCCTGTGGGAACTGGGTGGCTTATGATACATCACCCCAAACTGCACTGTGCCAAACCACACTGGGGATGCTATCCTGTGCAGACTATCAAAGGCAGATGCAGAAACCAGAGACGGTCTGCCGAGATGATTCTTGTGCAGGTGAAGGTGCCGATGAGATGCTGCTCAATCGTTGACTTTCTTCCCATCTTACTAGTGATAATACACAAAACGATGCCAATACCAAGGAATTCTGGGTAAACATGCCAAATCTGATGACTCACCTAAAGAAAGTCTCTGAACAAAAACCCCAGGCTACGTACTATAATGTGGACATGCTCAAATATCAGGTAAGTCTGTTGTGTGGTCAGGGTTATCTTGTTTCACATTACAAACTTACATTCTAAAGTACCTAATATTGCATAAAAGTGTCATTTCTTTTACTATTGCTGAAATGCTGTGGTTCTAAACACTGAAGCTTTACGGAGCCACTCAGGGGCTAGTGAGGAGAATATTTATCATACCCGTAAGTACAAAGTGGGGTATTTTGTTTTATTTATTATAGAAACATGACCCAAAAATGAAGTTGAAAATACACACTCACAATTAATTAAGATTATAAGTGTTGAAGCTGAAAAATAGGCCAGAGGTTAAGCTAAGCTAAGGAAAGCACGCGTTGTTCTCGCAAAGAACTCAGCTTCGGTTCCAACTCCCTAGAGGCCCATGATTCCAGACCCAGGGGACCCAAGGCCATCTTCTGCCCTCGACTGACTCCTGCATGCATGTGGTACACATAAACTCACACGTGCACACACCGATACACATACAAGTAATAAACAAATCTATTTTTAATGTGATAGATATTGATAAGTTAGTTCAGCATAATTGTGGTTACAGCACAAGCATTCTAATACTTTTAATTATAAATGATTAAGGATGACTAACCTAGATTTTTTTTCCCAGGATAATAGTTCTAATGATGTAATTGTTCTAATGAAACTTATGCTAAGAAACAATGCAATGATGGAAGAGCCCCCAGCTATTAGCAGCTGATGGGTGCTGAGGGGGTAGACAGAGGTGAATTCTACACTACACACCAGGAATTCAAACTGATGTCACTGTCCCATGGCAATATTTTGTTATTCAAACCTGGCTTTTTCTTGTTATGACTCCCTCACTGTTGGCTTTAACTAGACTGCATAGACTGTAGGTTTTTCCAGGCAGAAGACCTGGGTTCAAGTCCTCTGATCTCAGGGAATCTCAAAGGAAACAGATCTGAAAGGAATAATGACAATGCCCAGCATCGTCTGCCTCCTTGGTTTGTCATGAAGAACAAACATGACGTGCATATTAACAGTTAACAAGTATTTAGGAGCTGCTTCCTTGCAGTGTGCTAGACATGATGCATGCTGTGTGCTAGGCATGGTGCTGTTCCTCCTCGGATCTTCCTGACAACTTACGAGCTATGTTGTTTTTATAATTCCCATTTGGCAGATGAGAACATCATTGAGGCTGAGTGGGTTTAGTGATGTGTCCAAGATCAGTCAGGTTGCTGAGCAGCAGAGCCAGAATTCACACCCACGACTGTCCAGTCTTGAGGCCACAGCTTCTAACCAACATGCTGCCCCCCCCCTTCCTAAGTACAGATAATGCGTTTGTGGACTCTAACATGCTATAGGGATTTCCACAGCTGACCTTGTTCATTTAATTGTCACAGTTACCTCAAAGACCCAACACTCCCACCTGTATCCCACCTGTCACCTGCACATCACCGCTTTTCCCTGAGATCCCGTTTGTGAACACCACAAATAATAGTGTGACATTTGGACTTGTAAGTCCAGTCTAGTGGGAGCCAACCACAGCCTCTGGTTTTAGATTAACAGTTGAAACTTACATGTTCTCTCTCCTGTCCTTTGGCAAGGTGTCTGCCCAGGGCATTCAGTCCACACCTCTGAACTTGGCGGTGAACTGGCGATGTGAGCCTGCGAGCACTGACCTGCGCATAGACTATAAGTACAACACGGATGCCATGGCCACCGCAGTGGCCCTTAACAATGTGCAGTTCCTGGTCCCCATAGACGGAGGAGTGACCAAGCTTCAGGCTGTGCTTCCTCCAGCAGTCTGGTAAAAAGCTTCCCGTTCCCCTCCCCCTGCTCTGTCCTCTAAAAGGACTCCTGCTTAAGGGACTGCAGACTTTTTAGCACCAGGCTTTACTGTGGGAAGAGACCTCAGAAGGCCAGTGCAAGGACTTGGGTGAAAACGGAAAACTACTACAGATCAGTTGAGCAGAGAAGGCTTTAATCAGGGGAGTCTGATGTTTAGCTTCCCATGCAAGCACTGAGCAGAGGCTTTCCTCTGGATCTGAACTGAAAGTGAGAGTTTCCCAGAACACTGCCAAACACCCTGTACAGGGCCTAGGGAAGGAGAGGAATTGGCCACCAAGAAAGTTAAGTTGGTTTGGCTCCTAACAATTTGATTCCCAGGACTAACGCCTTCTCAACACACACACACACACACACACACACACACACACACACACACACACA